GATGGCTTTGAAGTTTGAATTAGTATTCCTCAACCACTTGAATCGGTCAAACCTCACTTTCACCCACTTGAATCGGTCATCCAGCACCACTCACGCTCTCCATCATCAAAACCCTAACCCCTCACAATCGCTATCACTCCTTATCTTCATCTACGACTATGTATGCGATTTGAAGATAGGAAACGATGAGCTCCCAAGCTGTTGTCATCACCAGCATCCTACACCCAACGTCGCTCACCGATGATGCCGCCACCTTCCATTATTGACACAGTCACTGAGCTTCTCCTTCTATGTTTTCAGTTGCAACCCTTACCACCGTCTAAAACTCTAACGCCACCCAAAATCCACCATATCACCGCCGTATTTCTTTAAAAACCAACACCACCGCTCAACCTTTATCTCTCTGTCTCTCTCATAGAAAGCCTACAACACCACCGTTTACATCCATTGAGCACCGCCATTGTTTCGAATCTGGTTCATTCGAGCAATAAAATCCCTAAGGCCGCGCACTATCACCGTTTACCCATTCCACCACCACTCCCCGGTTACCGATCGCCTTCTCCGAAAAGCTGAAAAGGTTCGCAAACATATTCACCCTCTTCTATTAATTTTGCGTTCTTCATTTTTTCGATCTACAATTTTTTTGATTTTGGTATCTTTTCTATTTTATATTTATATCCCTACATCCGTTGAGAATGAAGGAACTCATGACCTTCACCACTCAACTTACCATCGTATGAAGCCACCACCTCCACCGCTCTCTAGCAAGGAAAGCACCACCAATCTTCAGAAAGAAGCCCTAAACCCCAGTTTAGAGAAGAAAAAGATCAGGTTTGTGTTTCCTTTTTCTTTTCGTCTCTTAATTGTACATAAAGACCCTATTTTGTGTTTTTTTATTGAATATTTTATTCTAATCTGATGCATATGGCTTTATGAAGGTTTACAAGTTCATTTTCTTATTCAACATCATACTTATCTTGTAGATGTGGTTGGTTCTTGGAAACCATTAGTATTGCTCCTAGCTGTTGAAGATAAAGATGTTTCCACCCAGTGTCTAGATTCAAGGATCAAATCTTGCTTCACTGCCTACCTTCCAACAGGTACATTTAAAAACATTTTTTTTATTCTTACTGGTGAAATTTTCCTTAACTGATTTGGTTTGTATGGGTGTCCAAAATCAGTTATCTGATGTTTCAGATTTCAAGGCACCTGGTAGCTTTGTTGTGCGATTTCGATTGACCTTTTTTTGCCAAAAACCAGATTATTGTAATAGTCTTTTTTGTTGTTCAGGGTTACAAGGAAGAGGCAGGGGAGCTGGTTGATCATATGAAAACTTTTTTTTAATGATTGTTTTAAACTTATTTGCTTTTTCATATTGTTTTAAAGTAATTTACAGAAAATGCTTATGGCATGACTGAAATTATGATTCAATATAGCAATAAGTTATTGATTGAACATAATAAAGTTCCTATAGATCGTGTGATACACAATGCATCAAAATCCCTCCTTTGGACACACATTTACTGATTAAATATACCACATAGTAGCAGCTTCATGATGTTCAAGTTGATAGTGATGTGTGGCTACCGGCTAATTCATGGTCTGTATTAAAAAAATGGTGGGTCTAAGTGCTTCCACTACCCCTGGTACATTCTTATTTTTATACTAGCTAACGTTGATAATCTTTTATGGTCATGGATATGCTTGGGTGAAGCTTATGGAATGTCTGGACTCTAAAATGGCAACTCCCACAAGTAACTTTCGTTTCAACATGGCTTTAAAATATATGAGTAAACTACAGTTTTTGTCCCAGTACATAGTAATTTCCTTTCAGTTTTGATCCAAAAGGATTTTTTTTTTCTCATTTCAGTTTCGTCCCTCTCACCCACACTGTGAGTTAAATTATGTTTAGCCTATACATTTTCCTTGCAAACAGAGGCTTAATGTATTTAAACTCAAGGTTAGAGTGAGAGGGACCAAAATCATAATGAACCTTTAAATAGGTATAAAAAAAACACATTTTTTTTTGGACCAAAATGGGCCAAACAGGTTGTTTACTCATTTATATTTGTAATTTTTTAAGTTGATTTTTATCTTACTTTTAAATAGCAAGAATGAACAAAAATCAATAAATTATACAAAAGCAATTTTCATGTTTAATTGGTTTTTTGATTAAGAGGTGGCTATAAATCTAAATTCTTCAGTTACTTAGTCAAGTTCTACATTACTACTCCAGAATGATGCAGAGTCTTTAGGGAATGAAGAAAGAAAGTCTGAAAATGTGTTTATGCTGCTTCAAGAAACTCAAGAATTCATTAGATTTTTGTGTTTGAATTATTTGCTTGATTTTGTTCATATGAACAGTCGCATACTATATTTTTATTTGCTTTCTTTTGGTTTACTTACGATCCAAGCTTATGACACAAATGATTATGTTACTTGGAAATATTAGAAGGAAGCTTGGTCGGAATATATTAAATAGTTTATCATTTAGTAGTAATTAATCAATGTTAAAATTTATTACCTATAACCATCTTTATCTAAAAACAAATGTTTAATTTAATATTAATGTCTAATGAAATCTATGAGGTTGGGATTTAAAGATGAAGTGTGAAAATAACTACATTGGAGTCCGAATATAATAATCTCATGTACTCCATCTTGGTTTTTGTGGTTTTTTATTGTCATAAAAGATTGGTGAATTCTTTTGGTTCCTTATATAAGCAATATTCTTGAATTATTTAGATTATGGTTTGACGTTAGATTACGGTGGTGTTGCAGGTTATGATTCATGGTTTATATTTCTTCAGTTTTGCATCGAATTTATTTTTTGGTGGGTGGTGGATGTTGGTGACTGGTGGTAGGAGCGGGGTGGGTGTGGGTCCCAATTGTCTATAAATCAACTAATTCATTTTCTTTAACTAAAAAATAAAAAAAACTACGAAAAATATCAAGGACAAATATATCAAAGAGATGAAAACGCAACAAAATCAAAACCCGTGGACTATCCGTGTGAAAAAATAAAACTATAGACATAATGCGCGACCATTGATTTTTTTTCGTTACATATATGGTGTAGACGATTTTCGTCTAGAAAAGAAACTAATTGTCAAAAAAAAAATTCGTCCTCAAAGACACCTCCTTTCTAATTGTATATTTAGCATAAACAATAAGTCAAACCAAGAGGTGCCATTATTATATTTTTTATTTTATAATAAAATAATAAATAAATAATACAATTATAATTACAATAGAAATAATTTTTTTATAACTAATTAGATTATGTTAAAAGCATTTGTCGAAAAGAAAAAAAAACGAATCATTAAATTGAAAGTAATGTTTAGTGATACTTATCAATACATTGTGTCTTATTAATAATTTTTCAGATGTAGTAATTATTTATGCAAAAAAATTAATCACCTCTAGAAGCTTATTTCTGAAATAACTATTCGCATCCGGCGCTTGGCGCGGGTAGACGGCTAGTATATATAT